GAGGTCAAAACTTATGTCTTTTAACTCTAGAACTTGCTTTATTGGGTAGTTTCTGGTGATTATCTTAGATGAATCATCAATAGGGACTGCAACATTTTACATGGATTTGTAAAGGTCCAAGTACGTTGCTGACCAAAAGTCTAACTCAGTATATTGATTTTAAAAACATACCGCCAGCGTATTCCCTCACACTTATTCAAATTACAAAATAAAAACAATCTCAAACGTTTTTGATCACCTTGACCTTCTAAAGGTCACAAAGGTCACTGTTCTAAAGTAAAAAACTGGTATCCCTTTGCAAGAACCGGTATTTAGGTTTCAGGCGACTGCATGAGCAGGTCTCAGGACACCAATCTGAGTTTGACCTTGTTGACCTTATTTGGCCTCAAGGTCATGACCTATGTATTTCAAATGTTGACACAAGCAGTTCAGATACGAGCGAAGGCACCCGTGATGTTTTTGTTTCCTAGCTTTCTCAGATCCTTAAGTGCCCATCTGGTCCCTGACCCCTCTACCCTTTCTCCACCCGAGCAAAGGGCATTCAACCGACCATCCGGGCGCTTGTTAGGCGTTCACAACATTCTAACGATGAAATGGACTCTCGAGGTATCCGTGTTTTACTACGAGCTTATAACGTAACCTCAAATACAAAAGCAGGCCCCCTTTGGTGACAAAGAGATTCACCCTTACGAAAGGCCCCCATGGCCCAATTGAGCCTCCTCCAGGCGACCTACGGTACGCCCCCTGATTCAGTCCATCCGTTGCCTGTCCCCCCACAATGGAAAACAATTCAACACACTTAAAACATGCATACAACTGACACACACCACACACACACCCAACACACACACACACACACACACAACACCACACACCACACACACCCACACCCACACCACACACACACACACACACACACACACGCACACACACACCACACACACCACACACACACACCACACACACACACACACACACGACCACACACACACACACACACACACACACACACACACCACACACACACACACATCACCCCGCCATCACACATCACACAACACAACACACACACACACACACACACATCACACACTAGCACACACCCGACCATCACACACACACACACCACACACACACACTCACACACACACACACACACACACACACACACACACACACACACACATCCACACACCCACACCACACACACACACACACCACACATCACACACACACACATCACACACACCCACACACACACACACCCACACACCACACACCCACACACACACACACACACACACAACACACAACAACAACACACTCACACACACACACACACACACACACACACACCACACACACACACACACACCACACACATATATATATATATATATATATATATATATATATATATATATATATATATATATATATATATATATATATATAGACACGGCGCACGCCCCATAACAGGTAAAATGGCAAACATACGTGCCATCTTGGACCCTCAGGCTCTTCCCTCCTGCATGAAATAGCATGGTTTTAAGACTCGTCATGTTGTAATGTCTTTTTGACGACTTTTTCCAAATTGTCAAGTTCCTCTCACCAGCTTGCTGATGCGTCATATCTTCACAGGTCGGTGACTTATTGCTTTCTTTCCCGAAAATCTTCCGGGAGGTCTCGATCGTACACGTCCTGACCATACATACCGCACACATCACACGTACCACAGCTGACACTGCCGGGTATTGGGGGTCGCTTTGTTCGCAGCGGAGGGCTGTCCACTTCCAGGCCCTTTGTTCCGCGACCTCGTGAATGCACAGGCCATATGGTGGTTGACCTCAAGGACCATCTTGTCAATTTTCTTCGCATGGTTCTTTTCAGGTACGCTAAATTTACAAAAGTAATATTTTCCCAACATGGCGCACGCATGCAAAGAGATGGCCATTATGTTACGTGAGAATGATTTTGCTATCGATGGACAATAAGCTGACTCAAGCGAGTTGATAACAAAAACCAAGTAGAAAAAGATATCCAGAAGAGAAAAACCTGCTTACTTGACTACCAGGGTGGGAGACAGAAAATATGAGGATTAAACTGCCCTAGAGCCACCCGTACAGACTGCAACTATGTTCTTACTAAATTGGTTTTCTATTTTTCAAAGACAAAGCGCTTTTGCTGTGGAGTTATGGACGACAGCAATAATATCATACCAATTACGTTGGAATTCGACATTGGTTTCCTTATCAGGTCAGAAGAAAGCACACTAATGGCCAGAAGACATCAACCCAGCGATACGGAAGGTTAATTCCATTAAGGGTTTGTCTTGCTCAGGTTTCGGTGGGATTTTAACCCTCACCGCCTGTCTCCTGGAGACGGCCTTTTTTTCAGCGCCATTCGGTTGCGTTACATGTCTGGACGCTTGATGTGACACGTGCTGGTGTTTGATGGTGTTGCGAGCTGTTGTGCCGGGGAAATTCATTACGTGCCTACTGGCCACGCATAGTTGTGGATGCTTTTACATATATAATATGAAGTATATATATATATATAATATATATATATATATATATATATATATATATATATATATATATATATATATATCGCACTTTTCGACTAGGTTGGGGCATTTAAGCTTGTCCCTTTACCGCCCTGGGTATTCTGCGCTGAAGCTTTGCCTGCATGTTCAATTGCCAGGCATGCTGCTGTCGCGATCCGACGAGGTTCCTTGAGAAATGTTCACCAACGCGATTTTGCGTCCACGCGTTTCATAAAAGTCAGGGAGACAAAATCTGGCATTGCAGTCTGGTGGGAGACAGTGGCTACGGGTTTTTTAACGTATGAGGACATCCAGCGACTTGAGTCAAAATGACGCCTCAACGGTTGTGTGGCCACGTGAGGACAACTATCGTCATATGTTGACGTGGCGTCGATCGACGCATGGTCGTCATAAAATCTAGCAAGCATTATGTTCTTAATCGCGCTGATCGGTCACGTATCGCTTTAGCACACAGCCTCACGGCATTAGCTACGACATTCTTGAAAAACGGGAGGTTGCAATGACAGGTGCAAGCAATTCTCAAACCGGTGATGCGGGTTATGCGAAGCACTCAACTCCTCTACGAACTTTGATACGCTGTTTCTTCATGCACCAGTCAGGACCTATGAACTTTGATGCGCTGTTCCTTCATGCTCAAGTCAGGACCCGTGCAAGCGCATGCCGGCGGAATGCAGCCCAGCCGACAAGCTCACCAAGCATTCCATCTCCTCGTGAAGACATTTGAAACGTGCGATCAGGTGAGGCGCCGAGGTGGGATAACCGGTGGGCGGCATGTCCTAGTCTACCGTAGAGCAAGCGCGCGTGGCTCCGACACTGGCAGCCCGACGGTATGGAGGACTGCAACCTGCGTGTGGCTGCGCACTGCCCCGCGGTCGTTCCTTTCTACTCGCCGGACCATGTGCGTTTCGTGCATGGCCCTCACGTGGCTGCCTAAGCCGCCGGACCGTACCCGTTTGATAGTGTTACGCATGTGGTCCGGACTTGACTAACCTGTCCAAGAAAAGCTGGCTGTGGACGAGGACGGTTGGGGTTGCAAACACCCCTTACTTTGCGAAATCTCACATTTTAACATTGCAAGATTTTTCATCGATGATTAATTCCTGCAAACTGAAATATTGAATGCATATCAGATCTGTGTCTGTTTCGCATTCCCCGCAGCCTGATACACATTTATCATATATATTGGACATATATGCAGCAGTAAGTATAGTAAAATTTTAGGCCTTAACAAAAATATGTTTACTTTAAGAGCAGAATGACTTCATACTGCTCTTCGTATTACAAATAAATGCATTCTATTGACACTTGAAACCTGTAAAGCACGCCTGGAAAGCAGGCCAAATGTATTTACTTGCGCTTTGCCTCTCGTGCATACTGCTGCGCAAGTTATGCCGAAATGCGGCAGAAGCCGCACACAAACAAAACCACGATTGGTGAGTTGGCCCTGCCGTGGAGATGGGGCGCCGACCATGACAGATTGTTGTCGGGCGGTGTCTGTTTCTTTTCGTTTTTACCGCGGAAGAATAACAATAATCTGAAATTTCATGAATTTTTGATATTTTATACGAAAGTGTATGGCAGTTTAAGCCCTCCGTGAAGTAAATTGTTGGTGTGAATTGGGGTGAAAAAGGCCAGTTACTCTCAGCCATCATGTTCCATCTAAGGTCTCCGGACTCTATTTTTAAGCTCGTTTTAGGGATATCGATTGGTGTTGTTGTGTTCATCATCATACAAATGTCTTATCTGCCTTCAAATGACCAAAGAGAGCTGGTAAGTCTATCTTTTCTGTTCTTGGAATGTTGCATTGAAGTGTGACTACCATTTAATTATCACCAGCAGGCTTCCATCATGACCAGTTAACTTGCATGGCTTGTCAAACATTCACAGCCTAAATGGACTGACCACACATATGTTGATGTGTTGTGTAGCTTAGTGGAGCAGCTGTATTGTCATGGTATCTCAGGGTGGGCATAGGGTGCATATGTAATATGGAGGAGCCCCCCAAAGCATGGCCTTTACCACACAGTCTGTTTGAGGTGACAGGATAGTTAAAATCACATGGACATGGAGGACAGGAAAATAATGATTTTCAGCACATACTGCTTTCAGAATAAACCCTGTAACAGCCTTGGTTATTTTATGTCTTCATCAAACATGGCCAAGTTGTAAGCTGCACAATTATGAAAGTGAGCTGCTTAAATCAGCAGGGTGAAACTGGTTAGTGTATAAGACTAAATGATGATGAGAAATCAGTTGTTTGCTGAACTGATCATTGCAAGTTCACACAAACACTGATTTTAGCAAGTGGCCTGGTTGTCACAGATCTAATGGAGGCTGAAATATATGAGCAATAAGTTTTTGACCACTTAAAATTTTTAATATTTAAAATTGAGTGATGTGCCTCAACCTCACAATATTCACAGTTGAATGGATTTCATGAAAGTTGTTAAATGTGCTAAGAATGTCTGGAAGTAAGTTCAAAGTTAATATTATTCTAATGTATATGTTTTAGTCCCTTCCCCATATTTGTTAAATTATGTTTCAGTTTCTATGTATTCTGGTTATAATAGACACCAGCAACAGGCAAGTCACCCTTGTGACCCATGCTGGCAGCCCTGGTCTCCAGTCTCTGGTCCTCTGACTGTCCTGATGACATTGTCATGACTGTCATGATGACATCTGTGGTGGCCAACAGGACTTCGATGGCACACTGGAGCAGCGTCTGATCCACCTGGAGAGTGACATCTCACAGAACCGGCATGTGGCCGGCCAGCTGCACAAGGCGGTAAAGGAGCTGATGACGGCCGCGCCACCTCCAGACCAGCACCAGCAGGCCGACCAGCTGGATGTGGCTGCCAACCAGCACCAGCAGGCCGCCCCGCAGCGGGCGGCTGCAGAATGGCAGCAGGAGCGGCAGCAGCAGCGGCGACAGCCAGGCAGCATGGCAGGATTCTGCGAATTTGGCCAGCAGTCACCTAAGACCACCGACGTACAGGTTTGTAGGGGGGGGGAAGAGGAGGGGGGGGGGGGGGGGGTGCTCACGCGTCTGCGCTAACCACTGCGTGTCTGGAAACTAGTGGTACGGGGTTCGATTCTCCGCGGTGCTCGCCCTTCCTGTCAGGGCGAGAGGCAGGCGACATCATGGCCTCAGCAGCTGGGCGCGAGGTCTCGATAGTGCGTTACGACTTGTGAATGGGAATCGGCTGTCAGAAACGACCGTCACTCAGTGTCCGGACAAGGTGATCCGTGTCGACCGACGACTCGCCGGCCGTCGACATGTTCCGACACGCGACTCATCATCGTCGGAGGCGCGCGTCCGCAGGCGGTCATTGTTGGCGACGGGCTATACCCCGGACGTGGCTGCGTCCGTATTTCGCTGTCTATGTCAGCTGGATCTCCCAGCTCGCGCAGCTCTGTCAGATGCTGTGTGAGAGATGCGCTGGCCATGGCCATGTGCGACAAGACGCCTCGAGTCTCCGTGGCATGTCCACCGGAGACCGGAGCTCCTCGGCGACGGTACATCACGCAGACGCCTCGAGTCTCCGTGGCATGTCCACCGGAGACCGGAGCTTCTCGGCGACGGTACATCCCGCAGACTCCTGACCGTGTCTCGGTGTGCCTGGCAGATGCTGGACCTCTACAAGGAGATGCCTTTCGACAACCCCGACGGTGGCGCCTGGAAGCAGGGCTGGGAGTTGACCTACGACACCAGCCAGTGGAGCGCGGCGAAGAAGCTGCGCGTCTTCGTGGTGCCCCACTCGCACAACGACCCCGGTACGAGGGAGTCGGGGACGGGGACAGGGACAGGGACAGGGACAGGGACAGGGACAGGGACAGGGACAGTGGACAAGGACAGGGAACGGGAACGGGAACGAGAACGGGAGCGGGAACGGGAACGGGAACGGGGACGGGGACGGGGACGGGGACGGGACGGGGACGGGAACGGGAACGGGAACGGGAACGGGAACGGGAACGGGGACGGAGACGGGGGACGGGCACTGTAATCCCAGTACGCATACCCTGTGAGAGGGAGTCGGTGTGTGACTGGGCATGGCGTGTTGGGTAATGGCGGTTGCAATAGCGCACAACATACGGCCAGCCATGAGCCAAGCATCGATTACCGCTGCAAGTGTCGCCTTACCACGTGTCTGTCCAGCGCCATGCGGCAGAATGTTAGCTGCTCGGTGCTGATTGGCAAACAACGCCTCACATTATGTTTGTAAGCTGGCTGGTCTTATGCTCTTTTTCGGAAGCTGAATGCGCGCAGGCTGGCCTGCGCCGTGACATTGCGCCCTACCGGGAACACCTGCGTTGTTGGTGTGACCAATACCGCGGACGATATCTGCCATCGGAAAACGCGTCAAAGCGCCGTGCATGATGGCTAAATTGCGCGCGCGCGATGGTGGCCGCCAGGCGCGCCTCGTAACAGGGGGCATGCCACTCCCGGCCGCAGGGTGGATCAAGACGTTCGAGCAGTACTACGCGGGTCAGACCCGCAACATCTTCAACTCGATGGTGGCGATGCTGGAGCGCTTCCCGCGCATGAAGTTCATCTGGGCTGAGATCTCGTACCTGGACCTCTGGTGGAGCGAGATCTCGCCCGAGGTCAAGGCCAAGGTCAAAAGGTCAGGTCGGGCGCCGCCGGAGGACGGGAGGTGGGAGGGGGGGGGGGGGGGGGGTAGGGAGCGAGGCGATTGCGTCTTGTGCCGCCTTAACGATGCCTTGCTGGCACGTTAGGAAATGGATGTGCACACGCAGAGAACGCTTCACATTGTCGTCGGCACCTGCCGCCCGTGTGAGGACTGGGAGCGATTGCAGGACCAGCTAACGGTGCGCATCTTTTGTCGCGCCGCGCCGCGACAAAAGGTATCATGCGGTGAAGGTGGAATGAATGGAATGCGGAGATTGAAATCTATGCTGGTGCCGATATGGTCCCGTTAAAACATTAGGATCTGGTATTCCGACTGTGACAGATAAGGTTTGAATCAAAAGGTTGTGCTACAAACTACGCTTTGTGGACAAATGCTTTTCGGTTAATAGTGCAACGAAAGGAGGATCTGAGTCTGAACTCTCCTTCATATGAATAAGCATTCAAATCTCCTGGATTTGGCATTGATATGTCGCAACCCCGAAGGCCTTCGTGCAAACTATTTTTTTGAAGCTGCGCCTTTGGGACGTAGGTATCAATGTTTGATGTCGAGCGAAACATTTCATTGGAGGGGTGGTTCCCCCTCTCTAAACAGACGCCCTTCTCTCACGTGTTTTCACGCAATAGTTGCACCGCATAAGCACCTTGATGCGTACAGTTTTGCAACATTGTACCTCTGCTGAGACGCCACAGCCACTTTATCACTTGATAGCCCGTTCAGAATCGCTCGGCGGGAAGCTGAAGCTCCGGTCCTGTAGCGCCTCCTGCGCTGTATCGAACCTTATAGCTCCGAGTGTACCCACCTTTGCGGTATTATTAGCCGGCGATAAGCCCACAGCCGTCTTGTGGGAAACGCAAGCTGATCGCGGGGCCTGAGCTGACGTTGGCTCGATATGGCATCGGCCATTGACGCGTCCTTGGCGTTCACCCTTGGTAGTTCGGGGTCTGCGTCAAGAGGCATGCCAAGCGGATGTCTGTGATATATTTGATTATATCAACATTTCCTTCGGCAAAAGTTGGGTTAGAGTAGTGCGAGTCAGTTGCCGTTACATGCACCAGAGGAGGGTGCAATTTTTCCCATGATGCTATTCGATTGCGATGTGTGATATAGGCAGATTACGCATGTGTTTGTAATATTACATAGCGTGTTAGGAGTACGTAGTGTTTCACTGCATATGGAAATACATATGCGATAGGAAATTTTTTACGCGCCAGCTATATGTGATGATGAGACCTGCAGAAGCGAAAGGCGGGATGCAAGCGGTCTCCGTATGAACTAATCGTTAAAACTAGTCCGTTTCACCACCGTGCCGACGGGTTTGCGTGCGTGGGACGATGTTTAACTGTTCAGCCGTGTGCATTTCGCGTGATACGTGAGCGTTAAAACCTCGCACTGACAATACTAGTCGCAGCGTGTAGCGTGCTTTGTGGACGTTTGTGAACCGGTAAGGGTAGCGTAAAGGGCCCATTTGTAATCACGCGGATCATGTCTCTGCCCAGTTCCAGTGGACATGCACCGAACACTCATACGTGTCGGGTGACGTAAATAGGTCAGTCTGAATCTTACATGGGTCAACTCCGCGCCGGAGCATGCACTAGCTCTGGCGTTGCCGTGACGACATGCGGTATGCGCACTTGGCTTTTTACGGCGCGGCACGTATTTAACATATTTAATTGGCTCCCGAAGGACATCAAATACTCGTGTATGGCGATAAAATAAAATATCCGAACGACATGCGTCACAGGGCGTGCGGTAGCTTCCGCAAATAAGACGCCGATGACTTTGTGTGAAGCCCTGCTAAGAGCCATGCGGGTACCCCGCGAGGCTCCCTCACGGAGCCTGCGCGGGGCGGGAGCTGTGGGAGGTGATCCACAGCGGTCTGCGGTGTGATTTCCACCATCCCGCGCCCGACCGCACCGCTGCTGTTGCCAGCAGCGCCAGAGGAGTCTCCACCCAGCAGAGGACCGCGGGGTGGTGAAGTCCTCGGGAGCTGCACCCGCTGGTGTGACGTCAACACCTCCATACTTCCATACTACATATTGTCAGTGAGGGCTACTGCTGACCCTGCGCTGTTGTCGGAAGCCCTCGAAGCGCCTGTTCTGACGTCCTCCCGGTTGCCGGCCTTGTAGTCCTGTACGTGCCGGCGCCGCCACAGTTGTGCAGATGTCACGCTCCCGGCGGGGTTTGGACAGCCGCCGGTCTCGCGGCTGTGTCGCGCGCCGCCGGCAGCGCGGCTGCGGCGCTGTGGCGCAGCCTGGCGCGGGTCTCGCGCACCGGGCGACCTCGCCGGCGGCCGGCGCGAGCCGTGCCCGGCCAGCTGGCGGGTCGGAGCCGCTCGGGCTGGCAGCGTGGCTCGACGCCGCTCCAGAGCTGCCGCGTCAGACCAAGTGTGGGGCGCTGGTCGAGCCGACCGTCGCCAGACGTACGGCCACTGCCGGGCGTGTGGCAGGGGCGGCCGCCGCTCCTGCTGGCCGGCCGCTGCCACCGCCACCGTCGGCGGGCAGTCGAACAGGCTCGGCCGAGTCGGCGGGGAGGGGGCAGGTGCACATGTTTCGCCGGGGGACAACGAAGAGATGGACCCGCTGCTGCGCGGGCGTCTCGTGGGATCGTAGGGACCCACGGCTCGGCGATGGAGATGGGTGGCACGCGCCGTGAGCGTGCTGCTTGCAGACCGGTGCTGGTGGCATCGCTGCATTCCCGCTTCAGTCGGCCGAAGGCATTACTTTGGTGACGGTGACAGCAGTCGTATGCTGTATTTACCAAACCAAACAAGCATACGGACGGTCTAGAAACATTATTTTCCCGTCGTGACATGCGGTAGCCATCGTATCCAGAGCCAACGTCCTGAGTCACGAACATCCAGCCGTGTCCGCACCGGCGATCCTGACCCGACTCCGTCCGGTCCGCCGCGCCGGAGGTGTCGACGAGCGGGGTGGGATGGGACGCCGGTGGCACCGCGCCCGCCCCACAGCTGTGGTCGTCTAGAGGGCGCTGCTTGGGGTGCTAACGCTGGCCAGGGCAGCGGCGTTGCTCATGAGGGTTACCATTGACGCTGGTCGTAGCCGTTGTTGGGGCCATGAGAGCCATGAGCCATGAGACGACCGTCAAAGGGAAGACGTCGCTGAGACGGGAGCCTCTGACCAAAAACTGGTGTTGTGTCGACCTGATCTTGTGCCCCAGGGTGGTGCCGTGATGACTTGACCCTTTGATGCCAGGCTGGAGTCATGGTTACCTGACTCTGTATCCCAGGCTGGAGTCGTGGTGATCTGACCCTGTGTCCCAGGCTGGAGTCATGGTTACCTGACCTTGTGCTCCAGGCTGGAGTCATGGTTACCTGACCCTGTGCCCCCAGGCTGGAGTCATGGTTACCTGACCCTGTGCCCCATGCTGGAGTCATGGTGACCTGATTTTGTGCCCCGGGCTGGTGTCATTGCGACCTGATTTTGTGCCCCAGGCTGGAGTCATGGTTACCTGACTTTGTGCCCCAGGCTGGAGTCACGGTAACCTGACCCTGTGCCCCAGGCTGATGTCACTGTAACCTGACCCCGTGCCCCAGGCTGGTGTCACGATGACCTGACCCCGTGCCCCCAGGCTGGTGTCGCGGGGTCAGCTGGAGCTGGTGACGGCCGGCTGGGTGATGCCGGACGAGGCCAACACGCACTACTGGGCCGTCCTCGAGCAGCTGGTCACCGGACACGAGTGGCTGCGGCTGAACCTGAACGCCACCGTCAGGTCAGTGACCTGACGTCCAGTGGGGCCGGTGGCATAAAGCTATTCCCGGCAGTACACAGACGTCAGTCAGTGATCCGGCTCACGCTCGCCTGTTCGCGGAGCCGGGCCGACTGAAGCCGATTTCCGCCGGGCCCACGCACCTCCGCTGGCGGGGTGGTAACAGCACCGGCCGCCGCGGGTGGCGGGCGCCGCCGCCGTGTGGCGCGTAGACCCGGCGCTGGCCGAGCTGACCGGCGCAGGATTGACCAGTGTTGACCCGAGCCCGGAGCTGTCCGTGCCGTGTCATGCGATGATTTCCTGTGTTTCTGTGGAGATGAGTCCTGCTGGGCTGTGCTAACGAATATGAAATTACCGGTGCCAGCTGCCGCTGGTCGGATCAATTCCGCGCTGAAATCAGCCCCCTGGTGCGACACATGCTGGCCCTTGACCCGAACTGACCTGACCCTTATGATGGCGTTCTGACGCACTGGCCTGTCCCAGCCCGCGCTGACCAGCTCATGCTAACCTGATCTGACCTGACCTGACATGACCTGGCAGTAACGGCTGGTCGATCGACCCGTTCGGCCTCTCGCCGACCTTGGCGTACGTGCTGCGCCGCTCCGGCCTCGACCACATGGTGATCCAGCGCGCCCATTACGCCGTCAAGCGCCGCCTAGCGCGGCACAAGCAGCTCGAGTTCTGGTGGCGGCAGACCTGGGGTGAGCTGTCGGGGAGCTCACAGGCCTGGGGTGAGGTGTCGGGAGCGGTGGAGCGGCTCACAGACCTGGGGTGAGGTTCGGGGAGCGGTGGGGCGGCTCCCAGGCCTGGGGTGAGGTGTTGGGGAGCTCACAGACCTGGGGTGAGGCGTCTGGAGCGGTGGAGCGTCTCACACCGGGACTGAGGTGTCAGGAGCGGTGGAGCGGCTCACAGACCTGGGGTGAGGTATCGGGAGCGGTGGAGCGGCTCACAGACCTGGGGTGAGGTGTCGGGAGCGGTGGAGCGGCTCGCAGACCTGGGGTGAGACGATCCGAAGGAGAACGGTACAATCACATTAGAACAGTATCTCATTGTCCATTAGAGGGCGGCAGAGGCCGACAGCTGCCCACCCCCTGCTGCGACACGCACGCTGCCGGCCACACCCGGCGTGCCGGCGTCGCCCTCGCCGCCCACTAACATTCTTCCCTCCCGCGTCAGACAGCGGCGACAGCACCGACATGTTCTGCCACGTGATGCCGTTCTACAGCTACGACGCGCCGCACTCGTGCGGGCCCGACCCCAAGGTGGGTGGCCGGGCGGCCCGGCGGAAGGGCTGGTCATCGGCGGCGCGGGGCATGGTCTGGCTGATCGCAGCCGAACCAGAGCATGGCAGTTGTGCGGCCTGTTGTGAGCAGACGCCGGGGAATGGCACCCTGTTCATTAACTAACTACGGTGAACGGACCGAATGCAGGTTACCCCGTCCCCACACTAACCATATAGCGATGGCGAACAAAGCGCGGAGTATGTCACTCCGTCCCTGTGCCAATGGTTGTGGATGAGTCGTCCCACGGTAGGTCATAGTGCTCGGGTGCACCAACCAGGACGACACTGCCCGAGGAGAGACCTCTGAGTCGTCAGCTAGTGACGTTTGCTTGTGCCCAGCGCACGCCACAATGACCACATCCAAAGATGACTGTCATGGTGATAAAGCTATCACTCGGTAAAAAGCATGTCACCCTGACTTCGATTGTAATGCAGCGTTCGAGACCGAGGCTCTCCACCCTGCCCTGCCCAAGCCTTAAGCTGTATTCGCCGTCCGCTGGTGGTCGTTTAGCCTTGGCTGGTCGGTGGACACAGGCCGGCGCCGACCTGCTACCGGAAGGAGAACCATCATTGTCCTGGTATGGTTCGCGGCGGTGTGAAGGTGGAGTAAAAGTGGTTCGCCGTATGGTTTAAATGGTCAGTTGTGGCGGAGCGATGAGCTCTAACGGCCAGTGGAATGGTGTTTAGACCGTCTGTCACCCCTGCCCTGCTGTGTAAGCCCGCTGTCACCCTCCCTGCGTGTAAGCTATCTGTCACCCCGTCCTGCTGTGCAAGCCTGTCTTTTCCCCTCTGCTGTGTGAGCTCATTGTCATCCCTCCTCCGCTGTGCAAGCCCGTCTGTCAACCCCTCCCTGCTGTGTAAGCCGTCTGTTTACCCTCCCTGCTGTGTAAGCCGTCTTTTAACCCTCCCTGCTGTGCAAGCCCGTCTTTTACCCCTCTGCTGTGTAAGCTCGTCTGTCACTCCTCTCTGCTGTGCAAGCCCGCTGTCACCCCTCCCCTGCTATGTGAGCCCGTCTGTCGCTCCTCCGCTGTGTAAGCCGTCTGTCACCCCTCCCTGCTGTGTATAACCGCTCTATCATCCCCTCCCCTGCCTGCTCTGCATCCTCCCTGCTGTGTAAGTCCGCCTGTCACCCCTCCCCTGCTCTGAAAGCCGTCTCATCCCTCGCTGTTTGTGCCTGTCACCCTCCCTGCTTCGCTCTCTGTTACCCCTCTGCTGGGTATGTCCGCCATGCTCGCCCCTGCCCTGCTGTGTAAACTCGTCTGTCATTCCTCCCCTGCTGTGTGAGCCCTGCCGTGACCGTCTGCTGTCGGGACGCTCTCCGTCACATCTCCCCGCAGTGAGAGCGCGTCCCTGACGTGTCGCCAATGACGCCCCTCGCCGCCAGGTGTGCTGCCAGTTTGACTTCGCGCGGCTGCCCGGCGGCAAGTACAACTGTCCGTGGCGCGTGGCGCCGCGGCCAATCAACGACGGCAACGTCGCCGAGAGGTCAGCCGGGTGGCGACCCCGCGCCCGGCGGCGGTGCTGCCCTCACTGACCTCCGGGGGGGGGGGGGGGGGGGGGGGGGGGGGGGCGCTGGACGGTACGGTGGCGGTGTGACGGATGGCTGATAACACGTGCTCTGTGCGCATGCGCTGTCGGAGTGGAGGCCCCCCACTCCCGGCGATCGGATGATGTGAGCGAGTGGGGTTCTCCAGCGCCATGGAGGCCGATGTTCGCGGTGTAGGGTGGCTGGGTCCTAAGCTGTTGGAAATAGTCAGTTGGATTGGGTTCGTCTTGACTTGTTTTTGGGTTCGGCCGTCGCGAACGTTGGACTAAAAGCCTGCGGGAAATGCATGTGGCCTGACCTGCTCAGCGTGCTACTGTGCTTCTTTTAGATGAAGACTTACCTCAACAGACATGGTATTTGATCCATGGTGTGTTACTAGCCTGCGCTCCTGGTTGATAATGGGATTGGGATGGCATTTCTATTTCATATATATATATATATATATATATATATATATATATATATATATATATATACATATATAATGTGTGTATCATGTATACAATGATATAGAAATGCGTGCCTTTTGTAGCGAATGCGTTATATGATATAGGTGAATGGCAATCAAGTCTCTTATTCGTGGTAAGATTGTGGAACGGCGTTCACCTGAGTCGTACGCCTCTGTGGAGTCGGGCCGTTAATCGGGGTGTATTGATGGCATACGCTTGGGTTTTATTTTGGTTCATTGATATTGTATACGCAGGAGCACCAGGCCAGTGTTTTGCTCCGAAGTGCAGACTCGTCTTACCTTTGGCGTAGTCTGTCTCCGTGAAGTTCGCTTCTCCGCACTCCTTTTCATCAGATATACCCTTCATGATGATTGATGGTGCGCGGGGAATCCTGCAAAACCGTACACCATCTGCGAACTAGTGACATGTTTGAAATGAATGAGGTATTCATCTAATGCTACCAGTGAACGAGCGACTGACATTCGCTTTCTGAGGCTGACAAAACACGGGCATCTGGCCGTATGACGCTGCCCTGCACCGACTGTTGCTGCGTAGCCAGCGGGCGCCGACGCCGCCCCCGCCGCCACCCCCGCCGCCGCCGCCGTCGGTACCTCACGCGCCCTGCCCTGCCCCGACCCAGGGCGGCCACGCTGCTGGACCAGTACCGGAAGAAGGCGCAGCTGTACAACAGCCGGGTGGTGATGGTGCCGCTAGGCGACGACTTCCGCTACGACAGCGCGCACGAGTGGGAGGCGCAGTACGTCAACTACCAGCGCCTCTTCGATCACATGAACGGCCAGACGGACTGGCACGTGGAGGTGGGTGGCGGCCGGCGGGGCCTGGGGCGCCGGGCTGGCCCGGTCCGTGGCCCACCGACCTCGGCATCTCTGCCGGCTAGGAGGGGGTTCTGTCAAGTTAGAAGGGGATTTTGGGAAGCTGGAGCGGATTTTAGCAAGTTACGAGGGGGTTTTGTCAAGCAAGGTGTGGAATTCGTCAAGTTAGGAGTGAATTTAACCAAGCTAGGAGTATATTTATCACAATAGGAATGGGTTTTATCGAGCTAGGAAGGGACTTTATTGGCGATGTTGTGGTCGTTGTGCTCTCGTCTGAACCGGAAGAATCAAGACGCACTGCTGACTCCACGTGCAGAGTGTAATGGCAATGAGTTGTTAGTGAGCAACGCGACTTGCGTTTTTGGTTGAGACCCCTGCCACTTGACCTATGTCGTGCTTAACTGAGGCCATTGTATGAAAATATATGACTTTCCACCGTGCACCAAGCAAAGTTTTAGTGAATTCAGCGATATTTTCCACCTAGAAGGACACATCTCTACCTGCGTTTCTGGATCAATAAGATACTGGCGTGTGATCGGATAGTGACGCACGATCTTACGGCGCGGCACGCCATTTCCGAAGCGGTGGAGTGAGTGTGAGTGCCTGTCCCCACCCCCACCGTCCGCCCGTCCATCCGTCAGGCTCAGTTCGGTACGCTGGCCGACTACTTCGCGGCGCTGGAGGCGGACGCACGGAAGGAGGCGGCGGCCGGCCTGGCGGCCTTCCCCCGGCTCTCCGGCGACTTCTTCACCTACGCCGACAAGAACGACGAGTACTGGAGCGGCTACTACACGTCGCGTCCCTTCCACAAGAGCATGGACCGCGTGCTCATCAGCCAGCTGCGGTCAGTCCGGCTCGTCGCCGGCCGTGGCTCCCGCATTGGCCGGCAGTGCGGGGCTGAGAACGCACTGGCGCTCTGTGGCTAGCGGGAAGTATTGGTCATGAGGCGTCGATGGTGGCGGCGGTGGAGAAACGTCACGTTCGGAAAGGGCTTCTGTCAACGCTCGCGTGTCTTGCCTTTCACGTTTAGTGGGTGGGGGGTGAGGGTGGATTGACAGTTACACACTCGTATATACCTGTCCTGTGCTGATGTCATTTCGCTGGGTTAGTTCTGACCTTTGTCGGATCCTTTCCATGAACCATCGCAGCTTTATGGACTGTCTTCAGTCTCAGATCAGGGTGTGGCTTCATTAAGAAGTAAGGATTTTGACTTGCGTGGGTGTGCTTTTCCTTGAGTCACGTTCGCTGCTGTGGCGAGCGGGAGGCCGAGATGACGTGCGCGGTGTAGCCGCTAAAGTGATGGGGAAGGAGGCTTCAAGGGCAATGCCTGATTGTGGCGTCGCTTGCCCCGTGCACCTCTAACGCTCAAACTCAACACCGCCAGCAACCCGTTCCACGAGACGAATCGGTTGAAGTGTCAACCCTACGACCTTCGGTCCTGTGAGGAGGCGTCACGCGCCCCGGCTCCCTGACCTGACCTGACCTGTGGTGACCTGACCGTATCTGCGGTGACCTGACCTAGGCGGGCCTGTGGTGGCCTGACCTGATCTGTGGTGACCTTACCTAACGTGTGGTGGCTCGACCTGATCTGACCTGTCGTGACCCGACCGTACCTGTGGTGACCTCACCTGGTCAGACCCGTGGTAATCTGACCTGACCCTGTGATTACCTGACGGGGCCTGTGGTGACCTGACCTGACCTATGGTGATCTGACCTGACCTATGGCGACCTGACCTGACCTGTCGTGACCTGGACTGACCTGACCTGAACTGACCGTCGCTGCTGCAGGGCTGCCGAGCTGCTGTATTCGCTGGCGCTGGCGGCGGTCGGCCCCTCGCCGTCGGTAGAGCTCTCTTCGCACACGTCCCAGCTTCTGGCCGACCTGGTGCTGGCCCGGCGCGCGCTCAGCCTCTTCCAGCACCACGACGGCATCACCGGCACCGCCAAGGACAGGGTGGTCATCGACTACGGCAACAAGTGGGTGCGCGGCGCGGCGGACGGCCCGGGCCGGCCCGCGTGGTGGCAGAGGTGCCGCCTCCTGACAGCGCTGGAGGGGCGCTGAGGGGCGTGGGGTGGGCGGAGTAGCGTCCGGGTGTTCCTCCAGTGGTTTCTAGGAAATATACGGGCGTGGGGCTCCACTCGTTCCGTGTTGGGCGTTATGTTAGAGGGATCGGGCCCACCAAAAATCGGGAATTTCAGTTTTTCCCGGAACGTGCTGGGTTGCAGGCTGTTCAAGGAACTGGGACTACCAGATCTGTGTTCGAATTCCGTTTTTTTAGAAGGTACGACAAAATGGCATTCCAAGAATTGATTTTTCACCCCTCCAAAATGAATCAAACGAACTGTTGTAACGTTTGCGCTTTGTCCCCTGTCTCCACGCTATATATAAAAATGCTGTCATATGCGAAGGTCATCACGTGGCATTCACCCCACTTTGAACCCGCGCTAAGGCCAGGTCCAAAATCGGGCGGAGTAAAGGGAAAACTGTGGCAGAGTTAAGAGAAAACTCGTCGCAGAATAAGGATGGCGAATGAATCAGTGTAGCACATTGCAACTTTCTAGCCATTAAGATCCAGCGGGCGTTGTATTAGCCCAACCCTCCGGGTGCCCCATCATATGCTGACGTTTCGCTGTGAGCTGATGTGCCTACGCTCCGTTGTGCCCCAACGTCACGCCGCATTACCTATTTGCCACACAAGTCGCACGAGACAAGGTCCGCATCAGACCCGCCTGACCGGTCTAGCGCTTGTCCGGGTCCGACGCCGGCCCGTCACCCCGGCTCGATGCCGAGCTGTCCACGGCTGTGCTCGCGCCGGCCTTTGACGGCCCGCTCCGTACCGCGCCGCTCCGTACCGTGTGGTGGGCCGCGCCGCTCTGGCGTCCGCTGTCCGCCGCCTCTGAGGCCGCGGTCGAGGGGCCGCGGCGTCCTGCTCCGCCCCCGGTGCCGCCGCCTGGGAGGCCACGATCGGGCGTATCGCGGTGGCGTGCCGCGCCTCCGGTGCCAGCGACTGACCCGCCTCCCCGGCGCCGCGGCCGCAGGCTGCTGAAGGCGCTGGAGCGGTGCCAGCGCGTGCTGCAGCAGTCGGCGCAGGCGCTGCTGCTGCCGGAGCCGGCCGCCTGGCAGCCCGACATCAGCGCCGTGTACTGGGAGCCGGCCGAGCGGCGGCGCGGCCCTGAGCGGCTGGCCGAGCGGCGCACGCTGTCGCTGGCCGACGGCGAGCGCGCCGTGCTCGTCTACAACGATCTGGCGCACCGGCGCGTCGAAGCCGTCAGCCTGCATGTGTCCAGCGCGCACGTGGAGGTGAGACCCCGCACAGGCGTGTGGGCCGTGCCGTTCTGTGCGTGAGCGTAGACTGCTGATGGCTGTCCGGTTGTGTGTTTGTGCTAACGCAGTAGGCGAGGGGAATAGTTCGAACGAGTGTTCTGTTCGTAAGCCCGCCGTTTTCTGCTTCGATGGTGTACATGTTGTGTCGGCTCTGGATGGCTTTTGGTCTCGCCAGTTGTTGATCTGCGGTATTGCACTTAGTACCTATTGTGCTGTCATCTGCCTCCCGTCCCGTTCGTCTCAGCCAGTCGCCTCCCAGAGGGCTCGTAACGGCGACCGCGGCCTGTCCGTGCCGCCGCCGCCTCATCTGGGGCCGCTCCCGCCGCGTTCCCCGACCCCCCTGACCCGGGGTCACGCCCTCAGGTCACGGACCCGCGAGGGCGAGTGTTGAAGTCGCAGTGCGCGCCCGTTTTCGACGGTGTCGCCGCCCTGGTGGACGGCGTGCACAAGCTGACGTTCGTGGCGACGCTGGCGCCGCTCAGCCTCGCCGTCTTCACTGTGCGCCAGGTGGCGCCGATGGAGAACGGGTGAGCGGCGGCGGCGCGAGGTCCCTCTGGCGACGCCGTCGGGGGAACGGGGGGAGAGGGGCGGGGCGGGGACTGGTTCTGCGAAGTTTAACACGCTGCAGCGAAATTTTGCATGGTAGCTGACCAAGCGCTTATTGCGGCCCACGAAGGCTTGCAGACCGGCTTAGGGCGTTTTTCATTGTTCTGTTCGAGTTGGCATCCTTTATGCCGATGTGGTCTCTAACTTTAGGTCTCTAACGGAACAGAGCACAGGTCTCCGCAAAAGTAGTGGGTGCTAGGGTCCGCAACAAACCCGAGCATATACCCAGAAGTAAGAGGAACACAATGGTACCACTGCCCAAGATAGTGCTGTGACGTGTGTCAACTGCCTGTAGCTTGCGGAGTATTCTCGCTTATTTCATTTTCGAGAATTTGACACTGACATGAAGAAAGCAACCAGTTGCGGTCGTTTGTGCCACCACCCCCGTGGGCGCGCCTCTGCTACTCGCGTCCAACTCGAACCAATGGCCCCTCGGGACATTTGCGGGGCGTGGTGAGAGGCTAGCATAGTGTCCCCTGCCGTAGATTGGCCGTCCGATAAGTTATCGTGCCTTGCGGCTGTTTATGACACAGTGAGGCGCAGCTGGGGAGTGATCTCCGTTGATGGTGGATGAAAATGACAAATATCTGGGTAATGGAGGGAGGAATTTGTCCCTCGGCCGAGCGCGTCCTCTGCTTTATCGGTCACAAAAGTTGCGGACTAAGTGAACGGAAGTAAACTAATTGATCCACCAACAGTTTTCTAAGATTTTAAAGTTTTTTAAAGTTTTTAAGCCTAAGTTTTTAAGATTCAGTTTTCCGAACGCCAAAGTACAAACGAAAATGCAAGCTTTGCTTCTTAGCAGTCATTGAGTTAGTAAAACCGTACCACCACTTTGTATACGTCACTGTACATGTGTAGGCGGAGATAATTGTTTGCGTTGAATACCCACAACAAAATATTAGCGAGGGAGCGGGAAGGATACGGGCGGGGGTACCGCGACCTCCCCGAAGCAACCGACTGTGCCGTATGTTTATGTTTGGGAAGTTCGGTTGTGAAATGCAAATGCAAAGAAGGCTGCGTTGGGCATTTCGTTGCACTGTTTGCTCACTGCTATATTGTCATGCCTGGATATAAATCAGGCTGCAAGAAGAACGCATCTTTCGCAGCATGCAGACGCCGTTGTCGAATACGATGCTCTGCTCCAATGGATCCAATCCAATGGACCGCACGCAATGTTAGTTCATTTTCCGTGCCGCTGGTGCGGGGTGGGCTCCGCCTGTTTTAAAAAAACAAATTTGGTTCGAATCCTTTGAATGAATGGATTTCTGGGATCAGCGCTCACGCTAAGCAGTGCTTGCTGTGTGAGCCCTGACCCCCACCATCCGATCGCGCAATTCCAGGCAACGGCAGAATTTAGTGGCGAAAGCTTTACGTGCCGCAATGCTCGGCACGGTCCGACCTGCCCTCTGACGTGAACTGACCTTTAGCGCGACCGCTGCCACCGGCCGCAGGCCATACATGCCAGGGGCAAATAGCGAGCGCCCTAAAGCGACTCGAACCCATCCCGCCACGGGTGGGTGGGTCGGAATGCAGGCGCTCGAACCAACTGAGCCACCGGGACGGACAATTGATACGTGACACTGTTGATACGTGAGGCCCAAACCTCATTGGCAAGGGGAAGTCCTTTCCCTTATGCGAGGTAAGCCTAAGACGTGGGCCTGCTCCCATCTTGGCCGAGTGGCGAAGAAACTGCGTTTGTTTATAAGTAAGTCGTCGCTGTTGGCATAGCAACGCCTAGCAACGGTCGATGCGCTGTTGGCTGTTGCGTACGTCAGGCAAATTGGCAGGGCTCGATATCATGTGGATAGTGTGCTCGACAGTGATGTCTTCAGCCACATGTTTTACGAGCAGCTGCGCGTTCCAATGCTTTTGGAGTGCATTTTTTGTGCGCGTTATATGTCTCCATGGGGTTGGATCAGCTCATTCTTTTTGTGCCCATATTTGGCACTAAAGCCGGTCTTCATTGGCGTGCATTTGTGACGCGAACGCGATGGGCGGAGCTTGGTTCGTAAGTCAGTGATTCTAGCTGCGCATGACTACATGAACGCGTGCCAGTTACAGCAGGCAGCTCCGTCTCCAGAAAGCCTCTGCACGTGACAACATCAGAGCGTGCCGATTCCAGTCGACAGCTCCGTCTCTAGTTAGCCTCTGCCCAGGACCCCACTGACGCCGCTGGCCGCGTACCGATTACCATCAGTCAGCTGGACGAAGCTGGCCGGGCTCAAGCGAGAGTTGGAGCAGTGGCGATGCCAATAAAGTCGTCGAACTGCCTCACTGATTGGGACGATTTTCGGTTTTCCTCTTTTTGTATTTAAAATGACACCGGAAAGCTAAAATACGTTACGAAAATTGGTGTCATACCATGCGTGGTGCCATGCGCTGTTTCAGCCAGTTATCGCAAACAACAACACCGGAGTTGGTATTGTTATGCCGGCTGAACGTTAGTACAATGCACATGCCTAGATACCAAGCGTGGGTCCCAGCTCGCGCAGGGTTCCATGCTGATGGGCTTCTGGGGTTGGATCCTGGGATCGCATTTGGGGCTGCGGTCACACGCCCGCCAGTGTCGGCAGCTAGTTTCTGGGGTTGGATCCTGGGATCGCATTTGGGGCTGCGGTCACACGCCCGCCAGTGTCGGCAGCTAGTTTTGCGGAGACCTTTCCAGCCTGCGACGCCCATGTGAGCGTAACGCCAGCGGATTCTGCACAGGCAGGACACGGCTGTGTCCCAGCTGGAAGGGCGGAGCCTGCTGCGTACGTGTGCCTGCGGTCAGGCCGTAGGGCCAAGCCTGCTGCGTACGCGTGCCGGTGGTCAGGCCGTAGGGCCAATCCTGCTGCGTACGTGTGCCGACGGTCAGGCCGTAGGGCCAATCCTGCTGCGTACGTGTGCCGGTGGTCAGGCCGTAGGGCCAAGCCTGCTGCGTACGTGTGCCGACGGTCAGGCCGTAGGGCCAATCCCGCTGCGTACGTGTGCCGGTGGTCAGGCCGTGACAGCGGCCGTCACGCTCCGTTGCAGCCGGCACGAGCTGGCGCTCGTGACGCTGGTGCACGTGCCGAAGGGGCAGCAAGTGTCGCCGGGCCGGGCCGCTCCATACGCCGTCGAGTACTCGCCGCCTGCCCCCGTCACCTTCGGCTCCACCGACCTGACGCTGGAGCTGGGGCCTGACGGTCTGATGACGTCACTGACGCGCGTGGGATACGGTACGGACGCCGCCCGGCGCCGCGGCGGGGCCTTGGGCTCGTGCGGCGCTGGCGGGGGTGGTACAAGGGCGTGTCATGTCGTGCTAGCATTTTGAGAGGTAAACATGCGAAGTGGGCGATTTGGGTGAATGTGTTAGTTGCATTTGACTGTAATTTAGTGACCAGTTTAGGCATGGGTTGCAGTTGCCCGCTTGGTAACACTGCGCATGCCTGACTTGCGATTGCTTTTGGATAAGCTGGAGTGCGCTTGGCGAAATGGTCGCTGGGAGCCCCATGGGCGTCGGGGATGGATGTCTTGCAACGCATGGACCACATGAAGTTGACGTGCTTATCGTCCAGGTGTGCTGTTGATGTGCATTTCGTTCTGCAATGAATAATGCGACGTGGTTTTGCGGAGAGGCATGAAAAGCACGCTAAATGGCACCCTGACATTTTGTTACTCGCCAAGTCGTACTTATCGATTTAATGTAAACCTGATTATTGCTCAAACCGTAGTCTCGAACAACAGAAGCACGCGCTCTACAGTTGGAAACAGCTGATGATCGGCAAGACGTCACGGTCATGGCAGTAAACGGAGAATGCGCGACACATTTATGACGGCAAACAGCTGTGCTGGAGGGCTCCCTGCGTGGCCTACGCTCTGACGAATCTTGGCTGTCTCCCACCGCGCGTTCTCCGGGCCAGTCAGTAACACATCAAGACCGCGCGTAGCGCCGGGCTCCGTGGCTGCTGGACGCTACACTCACCACGTGGTCACGTGGCCGTGTGTGCGTCCACGCGCGGCGAGCCATGCCAGCCGCGGCCTTGTGACGCACACCGCTGGTCAGGCGGACGCTTTGCCCGTGCGCGCTCCCACGCAGGGTGATGTGTGGGTGGTTTAGGGACCGCAAAAACGCCACTGTACTGCCCCCACGGAGAGCAGGCGGCGCCGTCGGCGGCCCTTGTGGCACGCGCCGCCGCTGCGCTGACCGCGTGGCCATGTCCGCGTGCCCGCAGATCGGACGGCGCTCTCCGTGGACTTCGTGACGTACGGGGCGCAGCGCGGCCCGGACCCGTCCGGGGCGTACCTGTTCATGCCGGACGGTGCAGCGCGCTCGTACCACCGCTCGGCCTGGCCGTACCGGGTGGAGCGCGGCCCGGTAGCGGCCGAGCTCGCCGTCCAGCTGCCCGACCTCACGCACACGGTCCGGCTCGTGCGCGCAGAAGGTGAGCGGGCCGCCTCAGGAGGGTCGAGAGCGCGTGTGTGCGTTGGCGAGATGGATACCGAGGAAGGACGGGTTCCGCGATGCACCCGTCAGCTTCCATTGTTCCTATTCCTTTTGGTATACTGAGAGCATACGCTTAATGTTGTTTCTATTCCGCTGGAAGTGTTCGTTATTGAAATCGCGCGAAAGGTAGCTCAACACAATGCACGCGTAAGCGATCGTGTGTCGACCTTATCCCTGGGCGGCGCCGCTGGGAGCTGGCGTGTGTGACCCGGGACGGCGGCGCCGCCAGGCGCCGACGACGCCTCGTGGGTGGAGATCCAGAACCGCGCCGACATGTCGCGCCGGCGGAACGTCGAGCTGGCCATGAGGCTTCACTCGTCCATCAGCAGCGGTGACCGCTTCGTCACCGACCTCAACGGCTTCCAGGTCAGGCCGGCCGGCCGGCCGCGCTGCTGTGGCTGCGGCTGCCTGCGGTCGGCACCGGCCGTTCACGGCCGGCTGCTGCGGTGGGAGGGTTGTTAGCAGCTGTGACGTTGGATCTGACCACTATGGGTCCGCGACTGACCGCTGGTATTCCGTGACCTGTCGTGACCTGCCGTCGTGACCTGACATGACCTTCCGTGATCTGACGTGACCCGCCATGACTTGCACGACCTCCCATGACCTCCCGTGATCTATCGTGACCCGCTATGACCTGCATGACCTCCCATGACCTCCCGTGATCTGTCGTGGCCTGACATGACCTTCCGTGATCTGACGTGACCCGCCATGACCTGCACGATCTCCCATGACCTCCCGTGATCTGTCGTGACCTGCCATGACCTGCACGACCTCCCATGACCTCCCGTGATCTGCCGTGACCTGACGTGACCCCCGCTGCTCCGTGCTGACTCCCCGCAGACGATCGAGCGCCGCACGTTCGAGAAGCTGCCGACGCAGGCCAACTTCTACCCGGTGCCGGGCATGATGTACATCGAGGACGAGCGCGCTCGGCTGACACTGACGCTAGCGCAGCCGCTGGGCGGCGCTAGTCTCGGCCCCGGTCAGATGGAGGTCCGTTCTGAGCGTCGGTCGGACCGCGCGGGACTGGTCTCGGCCGCCGCCGCTGGGTGCCGCATTCGGTGACGAGTGTCGTGTCGTGTCAGATGTCGTGTCGTGTCAGATTTTGTGGTCCTGCCAATGCAAGTGCTTTCTTAATCCAGCCACTCGTAAGCGTGGCTAGATTCGTAAGGCAGGCTGCCCGAGGTGAGGCGCTGCTGCGTCGCCGGAGTCATGCCACTTGGAAACACGAGACGGCGTACCGGCTTCTCGGCGGCAGGCCGTCGCAGGTCGCGTTGCGTCGCGTCGCGCTGCCGCTCGCTCGCCTCTGGCGTGAAGGCGAGCGAGCCCGCGTGGTGAGGCTGGTGCGCGTGCCGCCGCCAGGTGATGCTGGACCGCCGGCTGATGCAGGACGACAACCGCGGCCTCGGCCAGGGCGTCACCGACTCCCGCGTCACGCTCAGCACCTTCCGACTGGTGCTGGAGCACCCCAACCAGCAGGTGCGCCGCGTCCGCGCGCGGTCTACCCGGCCCGGGCTCGTGCTCCCTCTGTGTCCCCCCCCCCTCCCCCAGCCTTGTGCTCCCTCTGTGTCCCCCCCCCCCTATCCCCGCCTCGTGGTCCCTCTGTGTCCTCCCCCTCCCCCCGCCTTCTCGAGCGTCGTCTGGTATCAGTGCATGGTGGTGCCAGACCTCTCTGCGGATGGACTTTGCTGGACGCGTGGTTGTGTCACAAATGAGTGCGGCAATGCCCGGCGCTAATTAAAAGATAGAAAAAAACGAATCGCTGCCACTGAGATGTACTCGAAATGATGGCGACATCGCGTGGCTGCTCGATTTGCCGCTGCCGCGCCATATGTGTCGACGGTCGCGCCGGCTTGCCTCTGACCCCGCCTCGTCGCCAGGAGGCGCCACAGAAGCCACTGCCGTCGCTGCTGGCGCACGCGGCGCACCGCTCCCAGCTGCACCCCGTGCACGCGCTGCTGCAGTCGGCCGAGCAGCCGGCGGCTGAAGCGGCGGCGGCGGCGCACCCGCGCGGCGGCCCGGCGCGCCGGCGCGCCAGCTGGCCGGAGGCGCCGGCCGCGGCCGCCTGCGACGTGGAGCTGGTCGGCCTGCGCACGGACGTGGCGCGCTCCGACGGCGGCGACCGGTTCTGGCCGGCGGCGACGGCGCTGCTGACCGTGCGCCGCCTGGCGGCCGACTGCCGCTTCGCGCCGCCCAGCAGCCGCTCCTGCGCAGCCGTGCCCGGCAAGGTGAGCCGTTGGCGGCGGAGCGGCGGCGCTGGACACGTGCTGGCTCGAGGCGCCGGCAGCCGCCGCATCTCGCCCGCCTGCCACGCGACAGCGGCGTGCGGAAATGGTCTGGAATGTCTGCTTTGGTGGAGGCGTGGGATTGAGGAGGGTGTGGACTTCAGCCGCACTCTGGGAGAAGAGCCATCACCCCCGGCGGGAGGCGGGCTGCAGGTCGCGCTAGGCGGACAGTCGCCCCGTGCGCTCGGCCATGCAGCCGTCCCGCAGCGTCCCGCAGCTGGCGGCAGGGAAGACGGGGTCCGCCGAGCGGACTGGTGCTGCCACCTGGCCAGCGACGCGCGAGGCTCGGCTGCTGACGTCCCCACCAGCTGGCGTTGATCGCGGTGTTGGTACGAGCGGCTGCCTGCCACGCTCCGTGCCAATGGCTGGGGCTGCGGGCGCCGCCCCGTCGACACACGCGTGTGCTGTGCGATCCGACCGGCCACCGACATCGCTGCTGTGCCTCTTGTGTCTGCGCGATGTTGTGTTTAGTCACTGCGCCGGGGCGTGGCACGGTCAGACACAGGCGTGTGTCATATGTACATTAAGAGCACTGGGGTGTCTATAGTGCAGTGGTTAACGCGTCTGGGTTAACCACTGCGCGTCCGGGAAACGGGAGGTGGGAGGTTGGATTCAGCGCGGTGCCCGCCCTTCTTGCCAGGGTGAGAGGCGGGCGACATCGTACGTCCCCAGCAGCGGAGTGCACATTTGACTGCCCGTGTCACAAGCGTTATCCGTCCCGATGCGAGCCGGGCGTGTGAAAGCTTCCCGCGCCGCGAATCGAACCGCAGACCTCTCGATCCAGAGCCAGCCGCCCGAGACACGCGACAACCGGCTGACGCCGTGTGCTCGTCCGCAGCTGAACGTGGCCCACCTGCTGCCGGAGGGCTTCCAGGCGACGGCGACGCAGACTTCGCTGACGGGCGTCCACCTCGGCCGCTCGGTCGCGCTGGCGGCGCCGCTGGCGCTGGACCCCATGGAGCTGTACGCCTTCCGGCTGAAGCGGCTGTGAGATCGGCTGCTGGCTGCCTGGCGCTCGGGAGGCTGGAGTGACGCGCGGACGGTGCCGGCCGCGGGAGGCAGCGGCGGCCGGCTGACGCCGCCGCCGTCGTCGCCGCCGACGGTCGGCAGCGCCGGTGCTGGCGGTGTGCCGTCAATGGCGCGGCCGGTCGAGGCCGGTCGCTGGCGGGCGCTCGCACGGAGCAGTCGGAGGAACGCGCTGACTGCCGCGGCGGCGGCTGCGGGGCGACGCTCACGCGGCGCTGCTCGGTCGGCTGGGGCGTGTGGAGGTGGGGTATCGTGTGGAGGTGGGGGGTGTGTGGAGGGCGTGTGTCGTCGGGGGTGACGATCTCGGCCCGTCCACCGCCGTGTGGAGCCGGCTCTCCCCCGACGGACGGCGGTGCGGGCGGCTCCACGGTGGCCGCTCGCGGCGGCGCGGGTCCCGGCACCTGACGCGTTGACCCGGTGAGGAAGGTGCAGCCCGCTCCCGCCCGCACCGCGCCGGGGATCTGTGATAGACTGGCGTCGGCCGGGCGCGCGAGCTCGGCCGGCCTCCCCGTGCAGGGCTCGCGGCGTCATCATCTCATTCCTCAGAGAGCCGAGCGTCCGCGCTGCCGCGTCACTGTCGCTTTCAGTATTTCCCTCAGAGCCCGTACCTGACGGTCCCAGCTGGTCGATGGCCGCCCGGCCGGCCGGTTGAGGAAGTCCTCATTCGGCGCTGGCCAGCCACCTCGGACAGCTGTTGTGATTGGCGCCTTGTCCACGCGTGGGGAGGGGAGCACGCGGGCCAAGCACCCGTGGCACGTTTAGTGGCACGTGTGGGTCGCCTGTTCATGTTGAAGTGGCACGTGCTCACGAGAACCACGTACTTTACGCGCGGCTGGTGTCGGTACTGGATGCGTGCAATACACACACGCGCGCGCGCACGCGCACGAGCTAACGTGCCTCGCTGGTGGATATCCGATGGATCAAACATTATTGCGTTTCACGTGGTATGGGGCTGGCTGCAGGTTAGCGCACCCTAGTCCTCTGGTTAGGGTCGGCCTTGTCCAGACGCTCACGCTGTGCAGCCGGTCGGGCTGGTGGCTGGCACCTCCCGTCGGCCGGGGAAGACCGAAAATACACATGCGAAAGCGTTACCAGCATTGTCGTTGGAGTCGAGTCGCCTTGCATTTTCATTGGCCCCATTAAACAATGCGGTATTTGTTGCATATAAATATCGTTCGAAAATGAACTATGGCATCAAGGAGCCAGACAGGTGCATCAGCCTGCATGGAGCACGACTGCTTTCGAACGTACGTTAGGTCGCACTGCCCCTTACCGCGTATGGTGTGTGGGTGAGTTTTAATGATGTCCTAAACACAGGCTTCTGCGTACCACCACCCATAAATGTCATCGAACTGCGCACTTGTACTCCGAGGCGCTGCCTTGGCAAAACAGAGAGAACTGGGGGCCTTGTAATTCGCTGCATACCAACACAGTCCAAGGGAAATGTTTTCTACAGCGACGCGCTGTCGGCGCAGGAGACGGCCGGGCCGTTCTGCAGACGTTTTACAGAGAGTGATAGGGACACGCCGGCGCATAAATTCCAGCTGGACGAGATACGAGATGGCCCGGCTGCTCCGCCTCCGGCGTGCTGTGGCATAACCTTAGGCTGGCGCCGGAGTCGGTCGGCCAACTCTGTCGCCTTCCTCCCTCTCCCCCCCCCCCCTCTCTGTGTCTCCCTCCCTACCTCTCCCTCTCTCCCTTTTCCCATTTATTCTCCCTCCCTACGCAACATTATGCGACAAGCTTCACCAAATATGTCTGACGTATGTGCCCACATCCTTCCCGGTTGCGTGCGGCACAAAGTTGATGGTCGTAGCAGACAGTCTCGCACCGGTGCCGGACAGTGATACTTGCCGGACACAATTCTAGTTGGCACCAACCGCCAGTGAGAAGCAAACAGACCCTTCTCGCCTGTCTCCTCCAGTGGCATCTTCTGAGACCACTGAGCCTCGAAGCGTCTTGATTGCTCGAGGGGTCATCCGCGGCCCATCAGTCGGAGACTCGTGCTGCCGATCTCGGCACCCGCCGCGCGTTCATCCAGTGTCGGGGCGTGTCGGGGCTCGCTGGTAACATTTTCAGGTCATGTCGGGGCTCGCAAGAAGCATTGTCGGGACATGTCGAAATTCGCAGGTAGCAATGTCCGGACGTGTCGGGGCTCGCAGGTAGCATTGTCAGGATTCACAGGTAGCAATGTCCAGACATGTCGGGGCTCGCAGACAGCAATGTCCGGACATGTCGGAGCTGGCAGGTAGCAATGTCTGGACATGTCGGGGCTCGCAGGTAGCAATGTCTGGACATGTCGGGGCTCGCAGGTAGCTCGTCAGACGTCGGTCCACAGAACGCGAGCTTGGCGCCTCAATGCGAGCTGTTGAATCTGATCGCACCCACCGAGGTCGCGCCCGCCTCTCGGAGAAGGAACGCCTACATTGCAGGCTCTAGCCGCCGGCCACTTACACCGCACGGCGGCTCAGCGAGGCTTCTGGCTTTAAATTACTTGGTCCTGCAACTGACGTTCGCACAGAGCCTTCCAATCAGCGGCCTTTTTTCATCATCCAGTGTTTTAGTTGGTCTATAATTTGCTTTACATCATAAATAACGAAAATCTCGCTTGTTAAAATGTATTTTGAATGGCTTACGCAGGTGGCGTGCATGGTTTGCATGTCATTTCCATAGAGCTCTTCATGTCACAGATAATCCCTAGTTTTAGGATCGGGTCGTGGAGTAGACCGTGCTGGATGAGGAAGCTTCCGAAACATTCCTTAAGATCAGCTTATGGCAATGGTGAGGCGAGCACGATGTCCTTTATGGATTAACAGGCCGCTCAATCCGTCAAAGGGTTTCGTTATGAGGCTCTTTGAACACGTGAAAGCTCGCATCTATTATTGAACAGGTGAAAGAAGCCTTCTTTTCCAGGATAGAGGTCTCTTGACACATGGAGGGTGCCACCTAACCCAGGACAGGCGCCTAATGATTCATAAGGGGACCTATGGAGGCAGCAAATGGACGTCCTTTACAAAGGACAGGATTTCCTGACCCGCGGCCGCGGCGTGTGCAAAGTTAGCTTGTTTGCGGATAGTTAGCTAACGCGTGTTGTTCAATATTCGTATTCAGCAGAAATCGGCGACGCCTTCGATTTTAAACAAAAATGTACTGAAGATAGCCCATGACGCTCTGACTCATTGCTTAAAGACTTTAAAGTGTTGCATGAAACGGTTCGATCTCCAGGTCCAGCAAAGGGCATTCCGTCAATATTGACCTACACAATACAAATTATACACCACCCGGTTCTGAAGGCTATGCAGACCCCAAGCTACTCGCAAAAGTGAGGGCAATTTGTTTCTCACCCGTCGTGACCGCTAGCCCGGCCGGCTATTGCCGGAACGTTGTGCAGCCCGGAACAGTCAAACTATGCAGCTGAGCACACCGGGGGCTGATGAGGCAGCCGACTCGCGCCGGTCATCCGCAACAGTAGGGACCTGCGGCGCAGGCGAGACGCGCACGCCCCTGCGTCGGTGTAGTGAAATGGTTATTCGTAGCTCTCCGTGCGCTCTTAACCGCATCACATGCAGCGTACACAGCAGGGTGTGTGATACATCATTCAGGCTTTCGCAAGTTGCAGCCTTTGTCTGCTCGCTTGCTGGTGGTTTGACGCGGTTCAACTTTTTCGCAGTGCCCTGGAGTTGGCTGGAAGACAAGCTATCCGCTGCAGCTGGTCTCGATATCGATTTATCGGCATTGGTATCGACTGGTATCGATCATGTCACCAGCACCTAACTTTTCGTCAGGCACGTAGCCAGGATTTCGCCATGCGAAAGGGAGAGTAGCGGAGGGGTGAAGGCTTGTGGACAGAGTCCGCGGCCTGGGAGGCAACCGCAACCACAGCCGCAGCCGCAGCCGCAGCCGCAGCCGCAATCGCATCCAGCGACCTAGCAGCGAATTTGTCTGAGCTCAGCATTTATCTACCTTGCCTGAATTATTCGACTCTGCACGCTCCTCATGGGACTCCACATAGACCAGCGAGGGCTTCTTGGTCGATCTCGCAGCCCTGAACTCCTCCGCATACCTTTCAAAGGTCATCCATCGTTTCGTCCCAGCCTCACAAGAGTGGCATCCATGAGAGTTTGGAGCGCCTGGAGGGGCCGCTGGGCCGGTATTGGGGCGGACCGGGAGCTCATGTCCTCCGCATGCGAGTCAGCATCGCCGCTACAGCTCCTAAATGAAAGGGCAATGCCCGCGATTGGGAAAGTTCGGACGAAAACTCCAATACCAATGTCAAAGCTTGATTCCATTGAGTTCTCTGAGACGGTGACGCAAGTGCTGGCCAGCTCCTCTTCAGACGCTCAGTGAAGAAGTTCCGTCCAAAGAGCCGACTCCCGCACGGGTTATTTGCATGAACCGTGACCGTCGACCCCTCGCAGGCCCGACTTGGAGGCTGAACCAGGACGTAACCAGCCCTCAAACTCCAGCTGGAAGCCGCACAAGCGGCGCGAGCGGTCTTATTGTAACCGGCAGGCGAGACCGCAGGTGGCTGAAAACGCCAGGACATGGCTGGCGGGCAGCAGAGACCAGCTCGGCTGGGCCTCCCGTGTCGGACCGCACCAAACGACAGATCCGTCGGCTGTTGTCGTCGGTTGGCAGATGAGGGACACATCTGCTGCCATGCGTGCCGACATCACGCCCACTACGTGTCAACAAGACGTCACGCCCCGCCTCCATCTGACAGCCTGACGGTGTGATTTGACTGTGTGTGTGTGACTGTGTGTCAGAAGACTAGAAATGTTGACCTCAGTAGTACAGTACATCGACGATCACTAGACGACACACGCACAGTGATGGCACGTGATGTGGGCTGGACAGCCATATGCAAGGGTCGGCACCGACCCCGTGTCGGGGTCGACGCGGTGTGCACTGGGGCAACAACAGGCCGCACCCAGCCCGTCGCGGCTCAAGTGCACGGTGATAGGA